CCCAAGGCAGGATGTGGGACCCCCGGGATGGGCTCAGACATCCATGGCAGGATGTTAGGACCCCTGAGACGGGCTCAAACCCCCAAGGCAAGATGTGGAATCCCCGAGATGGGCTCAGACCCCAAGGCAGGATATGGGACCCCTGGGATGGGCTCAGACATTCATGGCAGAATGTTAGGACCCCTGAGATGGGCTCAAACCCCCAAGGCAGGATGTGGAACCCCGAGGACACACTTGGACCCCAAGGCAGGATGTGGGACCCCCAGGATGGGTTCAGACATCCATGGCAGGATGTAGGACCCCTGGGGGAACACTCGGACCCCAAGGCAGGATGTGGAAGCCCCAAGGGAGCACTCTGACCCCTAAGTCATGACGTGGGACCCCCAAGGGAGCACTCTGCCCGCAGGCAGGATGTGAGACCCCCACCACCCCAAGGCAGGATGTGGGACCCTGGGGGAGCACTCCGACCCCAAGGCAGGATTGGGACCCCCGTGGCCACATTCAAACCCCAAGGCAGGATGTGGGGACACCCCCCCCCCCCCCCCCCCCCCCCCCGTGGAGGATTCAGAGAGTCAGGTCATGACATGGGACTCCCAAGGGAGCACTCTGACCCGCAAGGCAGGATGGGGACCCATACGCTGCACTTAGACCCCCAAGACAGGATGTGAGACCCTGGGGGAGCACTTTGACCCCCAAGACTGGATGTGGGACCCCCAAGGCAGGATGTGGGACCCCCTTCTGGGGCAGCACTAAGACCCCCAAGGCACGATGTGGGACCCCCATGGGGAAGCACTCAGAGCCCAGGACAGAATGTGGGGCCCCTGAGGGAGCAGTCTGACCCCCAAGTCATAATGTGGGACCCCCGAGGGACCACTCTGACCCGCAAGGCAGGATTGGGACCCACACGGCTGCACTTAGACCCCCATGACAGGATGTGGGAACCTGGGGAGCACTCAGACCCCAAGGCAAGATGTGGGACCCTAGGGTCGGGTTTGGACCCACAAGACAGGATGTATGACCCCCTAGGGCAGTACTAGACCTGCAAGGCAGAGTTCAGGCCCCCTGAGATGGGCTCAGACCCACAAGGCAGGATGTGGGACCCCTGAGATGGGCTCAGACCCCCAAGGCGGGATGTAGGACCCCCGGGATGGGCTCAGACTCCCAAGGCAGGATGTGGGACCCCCCCCCCCC